CATGGAGTGTTCTCGAATTCCATCCGCTCTCTTCAATTGGGTAAGAACGGCTGCAAGCGACATTTTTGCCCGTCTCTGTTTTATTTCCCCACTTGGATCGAATATTTTTTGGCAAGGAAAAACCTCCTTACACTAATTTTTCATCCCCAGATTTAATCTATTTTTTAAAAAGAATATACTGTAAGGCGAAATTTATTCTCACAGTCTAAATTTTCTGGACAAAACAGCGCGAGCCCTGGAGAATACTGCTATGAGGCAACGTGGCCGGGTGGTTAGGGCGCCGGACTTGAAATTCCGAAGTCACGGGCTCAAGTCCCGTTCTGACCACCAGCTAGTGTTGTTTTTGATATTCCAAAGTTCAACACCTCGATTACGCTTGTAAATAACCAACTGGTCTGCCTCCTGCCAGTTGGGATTCTTAACCACGTTATATTGATTTACATTGTATGTGTTTAGTGTTTCCATTGGCTTTGAAAAACCCTATTCGAGGAGTGGTCAATTAAGATATTTATTTTATTTTATTTTAGTTTAGTTTAGTTTATTTCGAAAGTTGCTTCATTTAAGTGACGACATTTGCATTTTTTGTTATTTCTGTCTTTCAGGCGAAACAGTAGATTTCTGTGGACCTTGTGGGGGATACGAATACCAGTCCAACTCTACCAAATACTTAACTCTGTTAGTGGGTGGCATGTCATGTCAGCCCGCAGTGCAGATTGTGCGTGAAATAATGGCCAACCCAAAGGACCACACCATCGTGTCTCTTCTCCTCTGCGCTGCCAAGCCAGCTGATATTCCTTATCGCCAAGAATTACAGAAGTATACCTTGCTTGACAAGCGTGTGAAAACTTCATTTACCGTGTGCGAGGTCGACTGCGATGACTGGGAGGGAGGAGAGGGTTATATTGATGCCAATCTTTTATCCAATGCACTGCCCTCCCCAGAAGAGTCCAGTCATCGAGTGCTCGTGAGCGGGGGCCCTCGTCTAGTCATGGGAGTGCTCCAGGGGCTCAGAGTGTTGGGGTACTCAAGTGAGAAGATCTTCGTGTACGGTCAGTTTGGGGTCCAACAGATCAGAGCTGTTTATGGAAAATACGCGAAACTTGCACAGCACAGGGAGAATCATATCATCAATGGATACTGTTAAAGACTCTTGATTCTACTCGAGCTTGCAATCCTCTTTTACACTAATTTTTTTACAGTTAATATTAGGAACAGATTGCTTAACAAGATGATATCACTGAATGTTAATGTCTGGTCTGAGAATCAAATAGTACGTCAAGAAATTACACCCTAGCTCAGAGTGTTGCTTATTCTCATCACCACCTATTTGGCACAATTTGTTTATAGAAAAGAGAAATCGTACTTTGATACCTCGACGGAAAGAAAACCTGTAACTTTAATCAGAACAGAGTGGTAAAA